CCGGTCAAGGGTTGCCTGCAAATAGGAAGTGCGCTGGGTGCGTGAGTGCGACTGCGCGTGCGTGTGAGTGTTTCCAAGCTTTAGAGGGTTTTGTTTTGGCGGCGGCAGCGCAAACTGTCAGACCGTCGTCTGGGGCAACGCCCCGCTGGGTGGGAGGGTCTCGGCTACGGCGGACCCCTGCTGACTGATGTGCGTCATCCCCAATCGGGACTAGGTGTATTGTACATCCCTGCTGCCGTTCTTTGTTCGACTGGGGGGCCATCGGTGATTCGCGAACGACCGACGGACGGTTTTATCTCTCGAGTGTCTGTTTCAATCTTTCTGTCGATGCTCGGTGGGACTATTGTCACTTGCAGCAATATGGCCACATGAGTCCGGTCTGAATGGAAAAGTTAATAAATCACATGTTCAACGTGACAATGCGAATAAGTGGTTGTATGAATCATGCAAGGGTCCCCCTTACGTGCGTCCATCTGTCTTACATTGCCTCATCAACCAGGCTAAGGTAACTCATCTGAAGCTACACTACCGCAAAAACAGAAGACATCTCCGTCCAACCTCCAGCCTCCAGATTGCGCGACTTTTGCATCTCGGTCCTATCTCCGCGTCACCTAGACACTCAACTGGGTGGCAACATGATCTGCCTCTCATTACATCTGGAGGTCTTGCGTATACTTCCCTTCCCTCAGAATCACTATCACTACCAATGCTTCTGCTGCCACTGCTTCTGCCGCTCTTTTTTAGCTGAGCTTCCATTGCTACTCCTACTGCTATTCAAATTATCTGACAACTCTATATCCGAAGTACTTGATCTTCCCTTCGCATCACCATTATCCATGCTGCTCTTCTAGGTTGAGTTTTCGTAGCTATGTTTGTTTCACAAGAAAATTCATTTTGCTCAAAGATACGTTCTCAAAGCGTTGGCTTTCCCAAAATCCAACCAGCTCTGGTCAACTTAAGAGAATTCAGACCTCAAGTATCGTTGGTACCTTACCTACCTTGGCGAAAAAAAAAGGGTTCTCATTCATGTGGCAACTGGCGGACCTTTGAGTAACATGATGCTCAACGAGGTCACCTTACCTCTGTATCACCACGTATTCAAGAAAACACCATCTATCAAACTCCATACTTGTACAACCCCGTCCATGTATTCATCTACACACTTTACCACCCAAACATCAGTCAAACCACATCTTCCTCAGCCGCCTCACCACCCGCATCAGCAGTAACCTCCTCCTCCTCCTCACTCAACTCCAACAAATCATCAAACAACCCCGCAAACTGATTCGGCAACTTATCCCTCACCTCCCTCACCATATTCAACAGCCCCGTAATCTCATCCGCCTTATCCTTGACGTCCCTCTGCAAGATCGACACCGCTCTCTCCAACATCCTCGGCCCCTCGGCCACCTCGGACCGCCCGTAGTACTTCTCAAACTGCTCGTTCATGAATCTCGCCTTATCGAGCTCTGTCGCCAACATCTCATTGTGCTCCTTCATCGCCTCGCCCGCACTAGTCAACCGGTGATTCTGAATCTCCATCCGCGTCGCCTCGTCCAGCTGGTTCTTGTACTTGCTCTCCCAGTCCGACACCCGCGCAGGCCACGTCGGCGCCACCACCGACACCACCGTCGGCGTCACCTCCAGCCGCCGCGTCTGCTGCACGGCCGGGTGCTCCCCGTGCGCCGGCAGCACGAAGATGGTGCTCTTGCTCCCCTTGCCCGCCAGCCTGTAATACCTCGTCTTGACGTCGTAGAACACCAGCCCGCGGGCATAGAGATCCCCGCCTCGCTGCTCGTTCCACATGCGCTCCCCATGCGTCCCGTTCGCCGCCCACACCTCCCTCTTCTGCTCAATCTGCGCCTCCTGCCTGTCCAGCACGCGGTGCAAAAAGTCAAACACGTCGTCGCCCGCGTTGGCGAGGATCCACTTGTCCTGCGGATACGCCACCTCGCGGCCCGAGGCGGCGTCCGGCCCCATCCTCGAGAGCATCTGCATCGGCACGGCGGCCTCGCCCGCGGTGACGTCGAGCGCGTTGGCGTAGCCGAGCTCGAGGTCGTGCATGCGCGCCACGAGGTGCTGGGTGTAGAGGAGCCACTGGCCGAGGAGACTATTGCGCACGGCGGCCATCTCGTCCGAGTCGCGGTCCTCGTTGGTCGGGAGGAGGGAGAGGAGGCCGCCCGTGGCGCCGTACTCGTGGTCCAGCATCTCGAGACACTCGTTTGCGTGGGAGGCCAGAGCGGTGTGCGTGGCGTAGGGGCGGGGTTTGGTCCGCTTGTCCTTGTCTTCGTTGAATTCGTGAAGGGGGCAGTGGTGGACGGTGCCCTGGGTGTCGGACTCGTGCTGGATCAGGTTCATGAGGTCGGTCAGGGGCTTGTTGTGCCACTCGTCGTCGTTTGTGTATGGTTTCTGCAAGTCGTTGAGCCAGTCAAAGGCCTCGTTGTCTCTAAACGACTTTTGGATGCGGCCCTCGTTGTTGTTCTCATTGTCCACCTCGGCGTACTGAGATGTCGGCGCGAGCTGGGCAATCAGGATGGTCAGCGCTTGCGCGTGTTGCTTGAGGGCGAGCAGCGTAGGCGCGTGTCCATGTGTTGAGAGATAGCTGCAGTTGACGTGACCCAGAAGTTCGGTATCCATCTCGGCATATGGACCGTTTGGAGCGTCTTCATTCCCGCCACCTAGGCAAAGGATCTCCTCAATGTAGCGAGACTGGTAGGCGTCGGCATATGGTGTCTTTGGCAGGCGAGCTTGGAAGGAGGCCATGATGAGAAGTTTGGTCAAGTGTCAATCTCAAGAGAAACTCCGGTGTGCAGTGGGAAAGCCAGCTGATGAGATGGAAGGTTGAACAACGTGACGATACCGGTAAAGGCCATCTTTGAGGCAATGAGTTATTATCAATGCTATCGATTGGAAGGAATGGGCTTTTCAAAGTGGTGGCACCTGATGGAATCATTGGAACAAAGAGACTATGGAAAGGTTTCCAATGGCAAGTTCAACATTGATCAGACAAACAATAGCTGCGCTTGGTTTTCATGTTGGTCTAAGTCGGGAACAATGATAGCTCTCATTCATGGCATATGAATGCGACTTTCCTTCATTGCCAGAGTATGGAGGTGATGTCTTGTCTGAGACGACAGCCTTTATCATCCTCTAATCTAGGGGAAGGCGGCATCCTTCCTTTGTCCCAAGATCGTCACTTGTCTACAATGTCTGAGCAAGGATGAGCAATAAGAACTGAGAAAATGAACCATGAAACTTCAACCGACTTCGTTGAAAAGGCAGGCAACAACACCTAGACAATGTCATCTTGGAGCAACGTGACCATCGTCCTGCAGATCGAGATGCCCAAATGTTGGCGCCCTTAGGCACATGCATACTTTAGGATTCAGTAGCAAGGCATGTAATGTACTCTTGCTCCGGAAAGACAAGCCTCGTCACTTCAGCAATATGGGAAAGTGTATTTTAGATCAGACCACATATCTGAAAGTGTCGAAGGGATCGGAACTGTAAAGCCATGTGCAGTCAACGGCCTCTGGATAGCTTCGACCAGGCAGCACTAGCTGGACCGGCTCTAGGCGTAGTCATGAGTCTAAAAACCAGGCTGAAGTTCGTCTCATTCGGTCATCGGCAAGTGTGCTTTCCTGTCGCTTAGCAGTATCGCCAATGGTTGTTTATCGGGCGTAGTCCCGAACGGAGCCTTCAAATAGAGTTTAGAACGGCCGCCTAGGTTGGCGTTTCTCATTTCTCAACGGAGAGGTCCGGAATTGAGGCGAAGTCGTCCGGGATGTTTGATGAAGGGGTCGAGTGCGGTATGGGGGCCTGGGCCGGTCGAAATGCGGCTGGTCAGCTTGCGGGTGCGCACGTGGGAAGCGAACCTGCAAGAGGTGCAGTAATGTCCAGCTATGCAGGCTGATGAGTTGTAAACATGCAGATGATGCTGAGGACTGCAGATTGCCCTGATCGGGCTGATCACTCTTCGGCCAGGGAAGATGCCGCATAGTTGGCGGCATTGCCTACCTGTCATCGGCGTCGTGGCATTCCAGAATGCGCGTCCTTGGCCGTTTGGCGCGCAAGCTGGAAACAAATAAAGATGTCTCGGAACGGTGCAACCGGCAGTAGGCCGTGTTTAGAGGGCCACGGGCGGCTACTGTCGTCAAACGTTGTACAGAGTACGGAGTACAGTGTACGTAGATATAATGTTACAGTAATGGCTGGTGGATTGTCTTGATTCTCAGGCGGTGCGGCTTTGTCTCTCGTGGTGTTGTGGCTCACCGGCCCTGGGCTCGACTGGCCGCTGGTCCACCATGAGCGTTTCTCCCGGAGACACAATTTCCTTCGTCAGCCGAGCAGGGATCTTAGAGGTGATGGTCTGTCAATGGTAGCATGGGGACGGGTGTCAAACTGTGGAGGATTTGAGATTTTCTGGTTGAGTAGCGCCGATGTAGGTTGATAGGACGTCCGGATGCGGTTTGGGGTGGGCGACCATCGGCGCTAGGGAAGAAAACATGGGTGGGCGTCCAGCGAAGCGTTCCAGAGCAGGAAATTGGCAGCATTCGTCGAGACTCGAGAGACGGTAAGTGGCACAGATCCCATCATTCATCCTTCGTCTCGGTGCCCCGACTTCCAAGACCACCGGTGCGTTGGGTCACAGAGCTATAGCGATTTGGAGGTGCGCGAATACCAAAGTCCATACGGGCATGGCATTTTCGATGACGCCTACGAAGGGCTGCCCTGCCGGCCGGTGTGTAAACCGTCTATTCTGGGGTATCTTGAGGGCTGTCATGTTATCGACGTTTTCGAACGGGATGCGCAAGAGCCGCGCGGAAGTGGATGCTGGATTGTGCGTAGCTTGTCGATAGCATGGACAATCATGAGGGCATTGCGTCAGTGGGCGCAGCGGAATTGGGGTATTTTCTGGTAGGTACGTCGCTCACTCGGCCGAGGAAGCCAAGCCAAGCACGTTGATGTCACTCGGTAGGTTTGGTGCCGGGTGGCTGCCGTTACTCGTGCCGCTCGCCGTGTCGCCGGGTCAAAAAAGGCTTCAAACGTTGGAAAGGGCCAAGAACTTTCGAGGAAGAATTGGCGGTGGTCGGGGAAGATGCCGTGAAGGATGATAAAATGGAGGTCTGAATATTCAAGAGTTGGCCGTCTGAAGGCCAGTTTGATGGGGTTTGATGTGGCACCGCCCGCAGCAATTGGCCGGAGACCCTGCGAAACCGCGACGAGCCCTGCAGCGGGAAGGATAAAAGTCGAGATTTTAAGTGGTGAAAACCGGGAATCTCAGCCAGCGTACTTTGGGTGTCTGCCGGGGGTTTCATTTGTTGGCTGCGACGCTGTCGGCGGACGGCAGGGCTGGTGGACCACGGTGTTTCCGGGTAGTGAGCCGCGTGAATCAGGACAGGTCGGTAGCGGTAGAGAGGAAGGAGGAAATGCGACTTGTAAGGATTAGAGTGAAGACCATACCAGACCGTTTGAAGTCAAAGAGATGAACGCATCCAAAGACAAGCGACGAATGTTTGGGTGCGTCAGAATGAACGGACCTTGATGGTGTCTGAGCCTCTGGAGGTCACCGAGGGAAGGTGCAGACGGGAGGGAGCCAAAACCACAACTGTGTAGGTATTCATACTTTGCGGACTTTTGTTACTGGATGGCAATCTAGACCCTCGAGTTCGGTACAGAATTTGAAGAATACGGTACCTAGCTTGAGAAGAAAAAAAGATTTAATCAAAAAGTAAGCAAAAAAGATTTGGCAGTGCCCACAAACCGGCAACGGCATCGTTGAATCGTGAGAGATGGTTTCCAGTTAGAAAGACGTCGGCCAATCAAGAAGCGTCGCATGCGGTGTTCAGCCGACCCACTTCACCTCGAGTGGCCAGGAATTGTCGATAGGCTGTAAAGGGACCCACCGGGTGGTAGGTGCGTTTCTGTTCCCAGGATGGCAGGCGCATCGACACCAGGAAGCTGCCAGGGGATCCAACTTTCCATGCCCAACTTTGAGATGGAAGTGGGGCCAGAAGTTGGGAAGGTGCAGGTTTGCAGGTTTGGCTTCACCTCTTCCTGCCTCCAAAATGGCACATTCACATTGAGCTAGCCCCTGTCTGGACGAAGGGACTCCTATGTTTCTTACCACGCTTACGCAGTAGTGCAGTACAGTACTTCTCCCTACCTGCAGTCCTGGTGTGCACTCAGAGAAGACAATGCACTTGCAAGGTGCATGGGCTTGGTCGAGTTGGATTGGCGCTGCGTGTCTGCGTCATAGTTGACATTGGCTGGCATTTTGCTAGCTACTCCAAACCCTGCGGCGCGTCCAGCGTCCATTGAGACGGTGGCTCTGCCGACAGCTCAACCTGGAACACACCACCTCCGCGCCTCGTTTCCCCTTGCCCGCGCCACCAACACGATCTGTCCCGGCACTGTGAGGGAGCAAGCTTTGCATGTGAGGTGAGGCTTTACTCGGTTGCATGAACAAGCAGTACCCAGTCGGCCTTCACTGCTGACGGTGGTCCAAGAGGAGGGCCCAATGTAGCTGTCTTCAGCTGGTGTGTGTCGTGCACCAGCGGCATACCAGTGTGGAATGGGTGACAACCCGTTCTAGGCCACGCCGAACTGGGGGTCTCAATTTGAATCTATCGGTGGCCTCCCTCTCATGCTTCGTCCCTGTGTGCCTCCTTCCTGGTCAGTGGGAGGGCTTGTTTGAGAAGAGAGAGGACCCTTTGAAAATAAGAATAAGGGACGACGACGACCCCTCATCGGATCAAGGGTATTATTATTCATCTCAAGCTTTCGGATTGCATTGTCCAGATAGAGACATCGGACTGCAGACATTCGATAGTCAAGAGGCATTACGACTCGTGGATCACTTCCTGCCACAGACTTTATCCAACGACTCCATCCATCTGTCGGTCTGCCCATCATTCTCCACCAAGATCTGCTTGTTATTGCGTCGTGACCAACCTCTTTCCTGCCTGCAGCCCTTCATCGCTTCATCGAAGGTAAGCTCCCTCGGCTCGATCGACAATTCCTTCTCTCATCCCCAGAAACCCTCCATGCTCTACTCCCCCATCTCCATCGTTCTAGCTACACTAGACTCGACTTGAGCTGGCGCAACAGTCGTGACAGCAACAGCAGCAATCATAGGCAATAGAAGGGGGCACGAAAAGATAGACTAACACTGCCCCTAGTGCTGTCTTGTGGCGTCACCTCCTTTCAGCACAACGGGACTGAGACATTGGGAGACGCGCCCAATTTCCCCCAAGCTACCATCACTTTACGGTCACGTCACTATTTGCTTCTTCTGCTCTGCTCTTCTCTTGCGGTTCGACGTACCCCCTTTGCAGCTTTGCACCAAGTATCCAAAGCAGCAGCACACCGCACCACCAGAAGGCCAGACCACAGCAAACCATCGCCCGCAAGCGCACCGCACTACCTCACCTCACCAGCGCGCAATCAGTTACCTCAGAGCTCTGGGCACCTCGTCGCTTGTGTAACTGATCGACGCTCGGCCTGGCCCATCCCAGCATCCTGACAAGCTACGAACCCATCGTCTCATTTCCCAACTCCCGGTTTTTCAACAACGCGCACCACACATATCATCCCCCACCCTTCCCCCCTTCCACTGCTTCTTTTTTAACCCCCTGTCCCTTGACCTTCTCTTCTCTTCCCACCCGCTGCTCAGGTTCAGACTTCAGTGTCCACGGCCCTTCGCCTGTCTGAGTTTCTCCACGATCGCACACGACCCTCGATACCCTTACCTGTTTAATACCCGACTTGGCCCCAGGGACCCCCACCGTATTTGACCTCGCGTCTTCTCTCTCGACTCAACTCTGTCCCAGCACACACACAAACACCAACAACCGAAACGACCACCAGGCGTCTCAATTCGCCTAGACGCCATCATGTCGGGTCTTGGCGATGCCGAAGGCGGCCAGTCCAACCGCGGCGAGGCTCTCGACGATACCTCGGGCAGCTCCATTTCCGGCCTCGTCAGTACTCTAGCCGTCTGCGCTCCCATTGCCGGCGTCTACCTCGTCATCTTCTTGATCCTTCGCCGCAGCCAAAGGCGATTTTATGCCCCGAGAACTTATCTTGGCAGTTTGCGTGAGAGGTGCGTGGGAATTCTTGTGTCTTGATGAGTCTCAAATCCTGACTGCCTCACAGCGAGCGATCACCAAGTCTGCCCAGTGGCTTGTTCAACTGGTTTAGTCACTTTTGGAAGATACCTGATGTCTACGCCCTCAAGCACCAGTCTCTCGATTCCTATCTCTTCCTTCGATTCCTCCGCATCTGTGCCACCATCTGCCTGGTCGGCCTTGTTATGACATGGCCGGTCCTCTTCCCCGTCAATGCTACCGGCGGAGGCACCGCCAAGCAGCTCGACATCTTGACCTACAGCAACATCGACGTCGCATCCTCCTCTGGACTCAACCGCCTGTACGCACATGCTCTCATTGGCTGGCTATTCTATGGCTTCGTCATGTACATGATCATGCGCGAGTGCATCTTCTACATCAACTTGCGTCAGGCTTTCCTGCTTTCGCCCACCTATTCTAAGCGAATCTCGTCTCGCACTGTCCTTTTCGTATCAGTCCCCGACGAGTACCTTGATGAAGCCAAGTTCAAGAAACTCTTCAGCGACTCGATCAAGAGAGTTTGGATCACTGGCGACACTGAGAAGTTGGACGATCTCGTTGAGGAGCGTGACAAGGTCGCCATGAAGCTCGAAAAGGCCCAGGTGAAGCTCATCAAGTTGGCAAATGCCGCTCGTCTCAAGGCTGCCAAGAAGGGTGGTGCTCCTGAAAAAACTCCCTCGGCTCAAGACACCGAGGCTGGCGCTTCCGATGCCGCTGCTCGTTGGATCCCCCAGAAGAAGCGCCCTACCCACCGCCTTGGTCCCCTGGGCCTCATTGGAAAGAAGGTTGATACCATTGAATGGTGCCGTTCCGAGCTCCAGCGCCTTATTCCCGCCGTCGATGCCGCTCAAGCCGACTACCGTGCTGGAAAGGCCAAGAAAGTTCCGGCTGTGTTCGCAGAGTTCTACACTCAATCCGACGCCCAGGCTGCTTACCAGGTTACCACTCATCACCAAGCTCTTCAGATGACGCCCAAGTACATTGGTATCCAGCCTACTGAGGTCATCTGGAAGTCTCTCAGAGTATCTTGGTGGCAGCGCGTTATCCGTCGCTATGCTGTTATTGCCTTCATCAGCGCACTTATCATTTTCTGGGCTATTCCCGTCACAGTGGTCGGAATCATCTCCCAAGTCTCGTATCTCAAGAAGGTTTCCTTCCTTACGTGGCTCGACAAGATCCCCGACGTCATCATGGGCGTCGTTTCTGGCCTTCTCCCCAGTGTGGCTCTGGCTGTGCTCATGTCCTTGGTGCCGGTTATCATGCGTCTTTGCGCCAAGCTTTCTGGCGAGCCTTCCAACTCCCGCGTCGAGCTTTTCACCCAGAACGCGTACTACTGGTTCCAGCTCATTCAGGTCTTTCTTATTACGACTGTCTCCTCGTCTGCTGTAGCGACCATTCAGGCAATTTCCAACAACCCGGGCTCCATCTTCAGCACCCTGTCCACGGCGATTCCCAAGTCCTCCAGCTTCTACGTCAGCTACTTCATCCTCCAGGGTATTACCCTCGCCACCGGTGTTTTGACCCAGGTGGTTGCATTTGCCATCTTCGTGGCCATTCTGAAGTTCCTCACCAACACGCCCAGAGCTTTGTACAACAAGTGGTCCACTCTTGCTGCTATCTCGTGGGGAAGCGTCCTCCCTGTTTACACTACCATTGCTGTCATCAGTAAGTTCCTCCACTTCATCTCAATCCTAGTTTTCTTGCTAACTTTAACCAGGCATCACCTACGCTCTTATCGCTCCTCTGATGCTGTTCTTCTCCACCATTGGCATTGGCTTGTTCTATCTTTCTTACCGTTACAACATTCTGTTCGTTACGGACACCAAAATTGACACCAAGGGTCTCTTGTACCCCCGCGCCCTCAAGCAGCTCTTTGCTGGTGTCTACTTGGCAGAGATCTGCCTTGTGGGTCTGTTTTCCGTGTCGAAGGCTTTCGGACCCCTTGTCCTCATGATCGTCTTCCTCATCTTCTCCATCCTCTTCCACCTCACTCTGAACAGTGTCTTGGACCCTCTCTTGTACACTCTTCCCAGATCCCTGCAGGTCGAGGAAGAGTCGCTGAGTGCCGACATTGAGGGCATCGACCGCAAGGATTCCGGCAGAGGTGTTTCTGAGGAGCAGAACGGCGATTCGAGCGGCTTCATGAAGAAGATCCCCAACATCAAGAAGTTCGCCCCTGGAGGTGACGAGAATGTTGTTGAGAAGGGCGGTAACATTGTCACTCGCTTCCTCAAGCCGTGGATCTTTGCCGACTATCTTCACCTTCGCAACCTTGTTCCGCACGACCCCACACAGATCGACGAGATGTACCCTGGCAACATTCAGGATAACGCCTACTA